ACGGATTTTCGTTGCCGTTACTTGTAACAGGTAACGGATTATCGTTACCGTTACTAGTAACTGGTAACGGAAAACTGTTACTTTTCAGAGTAAAGTAACGGAAAGTAACGGGAAAGTGCCACCCCTATTACGGATTGGCTAACAGCAATATGTAGAAGTGATAAGCATAAGCACAATCACTCTATAAGTATTTTTTCCTAGAAATACTCGGTGAAACGTAATTACTTTTGAAATCACGAGAGGCGAACCGAAAAAAGATCAACAGGAAAGAATAGATTTTGTGCTTCTTATTGTAGGGATGGGGCTTGTCATTGATGAGTCATCAGTATCGCCACTGCGCACTTTTTTTTGCACGTTTTTCTCAAGTATCGTGGATGAGTAACGTCTGTTGTCTTGCAATTTTAAAAACAGTTACATTTCACTACGATAATATTATGCACCACAATGAACAGGTTATTTTTCGTGAATCAAGTATAAGCGCAATTTTAAATAGGCTAATTAAAAATTTGTATTTGATGGATATTTGTCCCATGTAAAGTTACTTCAAAATGAAATCAGTGGTATATTTCAATCAATCTGAAAAAATGATAGCCTCAATTACTATTTCGCACAAACTTCACTTTTTATCAAATTTAAGTACTCATAGATTCAAGATTTACAACGAAAAGAATATCGAAAAACCAATATGTTAAAAAAGTAGCACAAAAGAAGCTATGTGTTATCGGACAAATAGTGACGATATCTCAGATAAAACTTTAGTCTTCATACACTTCCTCAGACCAGAATATTATTCATTTCAAATTGAACAAACTAAACTCGTACGAAAATGTCATTGTATTATTGATCAATTATTGATGTGTTATCTTTTACTGTAGTCAGCATGAATTTTATTTGTACATTTTACGATGATACAAAGCAAAATCAGTCTCTATTCCACAAAAAATATTTGATGAAAGAAAGCAAAACAAATAATTCACAGTATCACAGTAAAAAAATGAAAAAGAAATCTCGTGGTAACAATATTACACCTGAAAAAAGTTTTAATTAATAGTATTCAAATACAGAAACCTGTACGATAATTTACTGTTAATAACGAGCATATTAGCGTAGCTCCTCTAACGATGGCACTCGAAATTATTTAATTTTACTGTGTACTACTCCCAGATTCGCTTGAGCCATTCAATGGCTAAGTGCGTAAGAGCTAAACCTACTTAAGTACCACATTATACCACCCTTTGCCCAAGCGCCGATTATGTACCGTAAGTGTACGGATAATTGGAGGAAGAGAAGGCAGATGATGGTATCAAATGTTTGTAGCTGGATTATATCAAATAATATATAAAAACACACTCAGCCAGAGACTAATGATGTTGGTATCCGATTATCTTTATAGAAAGATTTTTGTTTTTCTAACATTTCAACAGTCGCTTTATGAAACAGACTTTGATTGAATAAAAAACCACTAATATGTCCATGATTAATATAACGAACGTGGCAATTTGGCCAAAGGTCCGACATGTGTGTTGTTCCATTTCTCAACACATAGCCGTCGTTTGTCGCTACAATAAATAGTGCATTTGACAAATTTGACTCATAGGGCAACGAATAATTTTTCAAGTGTGTAAATTCATCCATTAATAATCTCATAAAATCTTTCACTATATCAAACGATGGGGATTTTTTGGTGTTATTAGTCGTTGGTTGATGAAATTTTTGAGCAGGTGGATGAATATTCTGCGTAACAATGTTTTCTAATTTCATTTTTTGTTCTTTCGCACTTAACTCATCATAAAATGTACGATAGGCTTTATTTTCATAAAATTGTTTGCTCAATAAATGCCAGGGTATGTTTTTTGAAATAACGCCCTCACAAAATACTGTTGAAGATGTCGACCACGAAAGACAAGAAACGAGAGATAACGGCTTCGGATAATTTGTAAAAGCTAACGATGCCATATGACTTCCTAAAGAAAATCCATGTAATACAACTGGTGCTAACTTCATCCGCTCACACCAATGTAATAAAGCTAAAGATTCGAGCACCAACGCTCCACCCATAACGAACAAGTCTGTCACATAGAACAAAGATGATCGAAATTGATCGGCCGGTTTTCTGCTTCCATAGTATGGATTTTCAAGTATAATTGATGCCACCCGATAACCGTTCAATAATGGTGTTGCATTTAGATAGTGTCGACGTCCAAAGTTATGATCTCCAGTTCCCGGATAATTAATTGCTATCGGTATTTGGTCAATACCAAGCTTATGATCTTTGGGTAAGATAAGTCTAAATTTTGCTTTGACTATTTCCGGTACAAATAAATGACTCAAATAATATGATAACGGACTAATGAATTGACCGGTAATAATCAATTGATTTTTTGACACTTCTTCTTTGAGAATTTCAATCGGATAATTCGATGGTACTAATTTATAACATTGTTCACGAATACCAACCTTTTCTCGACGATAATAATATAATTCTTGTAAATGTTGAGGATTACCCCAACCTCTCACAAATTGTTGACTGACCACGAAGCGTCGAAATAAATGATCGAATTGATTCATATTTCATTATAATTCAGTTCACTGTCACTTTCATATAGTTTACTGTCGAATTCTTCTTAATTTATTCATCTAGAGTACAGTGACAATACCTCAAAAAATTAGATACCAACTGATTTCTAAAAGCGAAATGTTATATACACATCACAAAGTATCGTTCATCTTTTCAGGGCATTCAAAAGCACAATTCGAATGATAAATTAAAAATCATACACTGTTTAGGTCATCGAAAGAACTAAAAGCTCGTCTGTAATCAATCATGCACTTTTATGTCACTGTTAGTAAAATTTCAGTATATTCCTTTTAAGACAGAGTGTTTATTCTATACTTACTGATACACTACACGCATAGGGGGATTAACTTGAATGCTCCGTATTATCGTTTTTGAAATGATATTTTTTTCTTACAAACAGGAGTCAAACAAGTGCTTGAGTTTTTTTCTTAGAAAAAACACAAGTATGCGTGTACAATTACAAATAAGTAGTAGCAAATTTCCTATAACAAAAAAAGTATTACGTAAAAGAATGTTCACTGGTAGAAAACAAAAACAATCTATGAAGCATAACGCATACAAAGAACAGAAAAACACACGTAAAACATTAATCTAATGATATCGACTTCATGATTAATTCCTAATTGCCAGAGATATTTAAGAGCATTTGTGGTCCATGAGGTAAATAGACGATATTTCTTGATCTGGCTAGTTGTGTTGCAATATCTTCGGCAGCCTCAATTCGACGGAGTTCGATTAAACCTAGAAAGATAACACATATTCATAAATCCAGTGTAATGGATAAGGGCAATCCATCAACGACAACGTATGACTCTTTTTTTTAACTGATAAAAAAACATACAAAGACTTACCATCTCCAGCTTCAAATAAAGCACGCCCGATCAAATCTGCTGCTTTGGCGTCTCCTTCAGCTGCGATTACATTTGCCTGACGAGTTTGTTCAGCCTAAAATAGAGACTAATAATATAACACACACATTGTATTACACATTTATCTAATCTTACTTTTTCAACGAGAAAACGTTGTTTTTCTGCGTCTTGTTGAGAAACTTGTTTAGCTTCCACAGCAGTTGTAAATTCTGGACCAAACGTTAAATGTGTCTAAATTCGATAGAAGTAAGATTAGCATTAGAAGTCAAAAAGAAAAGTAGCTGCTGTCACTTACAATTGAAATATCATCTAACAATAATCCAAACTGAGATGCACGTTCGGTTAATAATTCACTAACACGTTGTGATATCAACGTACGTTGGGTGATTAATTCAATAGCATCAAACTGAGCCTACAATAAAGTTTACAATTTCAAATATGAAATGTAGTAAAACCAATTTATACGTACTACAACGGATTTCAAAACTTCATTTGTAATCGATGGTAATACACGTTCTTCGTAATCCAAGCCAAGAGTAGAGAAAATTTTTGGTAAAAATTCAGCTCTTGGTCGATATAGTATACGTAATGTTATGTTAACGGTTTGCAAATCTATAATATACAATTTTTTAAAATATAGATGATCTTCGTCACTGACACACGCTTAAAAAAAGATCCTACCTTTTGTTCCTGTTATAGATGGAACTGATCTTGGTCTTGTACGAATATCAAATATAATCGGTCTGTGTAACCATGGAACCATAAAATGTGTACCTTCTCCAATAACATCAGGTTTTACTCCTTGAAATCGATCAAAGATAACTGCACGATGACCACCATCGACTATACAACAACAAATACATCTTATATACTATATATTGATAACCTATTAAATTTTACCATTGTATAGCATCGAGTTAATTACACCACCAGCGACAGCTACTCCCAAACCAACTTTACCTATTGTGTTAAACAAACGTGCAGAGAAAGCCATAGTTCAATTCTAGAAAGAACGATGTCAAAATATATTAGAAAATTTGTAAATATTATAACGATGATCATATATCAGCTCGCTATTTAGTGTTATTACAAATCATTATTGGTTTTTTGCTTTATTTATTTTCAAGAAGGTAGAGAAAAATAACAGGCGACAATAGCAAACGAAGTGTTTGCGCCTATAGTATGGTGATTGCATATACATCATCTCTTTATCTATCAACTAAAGAAAAAAACATATTTACAAGTGTTTTGAATGAAATAAACAAAACTAGACATGTACGATGAGTTAAACCACGTATGATAAGAGAATATATGCGCTTAAGGCAAGAGAAATACGACAAATAAAAACCACCACATATAAATATGTCTGAAAGAAGGTATAAAACAGGCAGAACACCAGTTTAGAGCATACAAAAAAAAAGGCTTTGTTTTTTTCATTTCTCAAACACCGTTTTATACACGAAAGAAAAAAAAATCATTGAAACTTCAAAAGAAAAAAAAATCGACAGATTATACCCTGAACATTGTTTTTTTGTTAATACAAAAAAGATCACACGATAGCGAAACAAAAAAATTACAAATAGAAAAAAAAAAATAATACACAAACATATATAAGGTACGATTTATCAACGTTCGGATGTCGTACGACGATTATTGGGTCGATACTGACGACGAGTTTGAGCAGGATCATTCACAGTACTAGTAGGAGGAGGAGTAGGAATAGAAGTGGCAGTAGAAGAAAGATTATTTCCACCACTTGTAATTGTCGTTGTATTAGACGAAGCATTTTCTTTTAGAGCAGCTGCAGCTGCTGCTTCTGGCGCCGGTACAGTCTAAAACAAAGTAGATAGATGAGCAAATAGGAAAAGAACAACTGAATAGATACTTACTTTAATACCCGTTTTACTTGGATACCATTGCTGTGGAAAACTTGCTCCATCAATACGAAAATCTTCCAGTCGTTTATAATTTTTAAGTATATCTTGTAATTTTGGATTTATGACAGGATTACGTTTTGAATATTTCAAAAAAGCCCAAAACTTTTCTAATCCATATAATTGACCTGCAACGCAAAAAAATCAGTGATGCTAGTATAAAGGAGTAGAAAAAATTATTTTCAATGAAAAACCAGTACAGTGTCCTACCAGCTTCGTGATCTCTCAAGGTTTCTTCTTCAAAATCCTTGAACACTTCAAGTCGAAAATGGTTTTCTAATCCATAAGTAAAATATCGAAATAAACATTCTAAACCATATCTAAATAGTAAACAATAGTGGTGTATGAGAAACAAAATCCAACGGCTAACCAATGTCTAATACATTTTAGTGCTCACTTATTTTTTACACGTGAGAAACTTAATGCAAAATACATTTAAATTATATTTACCTATGTCCAGTTTTTGCGTCTTCAACTGCATATTGTTTAAACTCATTGTACATTCGACGATTAAAATTTTCTCGCAAGAAAAATGACCAAAAACGATAAAGTGTATTCATTTCCAGTGACTGACCGTATCCAAATTGTTTTCGTTCTTCAAGACAACGATGTTTATATTTAACATAAACTTGTTGTGTAAAACCATTTTGTTCTAATAATGAATGTGATGGATGTTGAAATTGTGGTATTTCAACGGGAGTTGTTCCAAACGGTTGGGAATAATTGTAATCGTTGTAATAATCATAATTGTAACTATATCTTCTATCATAGTCATAATAGTCTCCATATTCAGACATTTGATACTGATCATAGTTATAATCTTGACGATTTCTACAGCAAAAGCGAAAAATTAATCTTTTCTTGGCTTTTTCTTTTTTAAATAGATACAGCAGTAACTACTATTTGAGGAGTAAAAGACTGAACATTAGTAGACTATAAACACGTACTAAAGAACATTCTCACTATGTATACAAAAAGCATAAAATTTTTATGACAAATACTGAACAACAATAATAAAATTCGGAAAGAAGATTAATCTAGTTTACCTTACCCACGACTCATTCTAATTCGTCTAAAAATCGAGCAGCAGTAAGAAAAGTTTAAACATCAAATGATTCATTTCTGTGCCTCGATATAAGTTTACTCTCGTTATTTTTTCACGAGTGGTCAATTTTAGTAAAAAAAATATTAGACTTACGTGGCCGCATCTGATGTTTGTTGTCCCGCTATTGTATTACTTCGAGGTTTCGATGATACATGTCCACGAGAATCAAACACCCAACCGACAGAACTTTCGATTGGCGGATTTTCAGTGTGACGTGTTTTTCTCTTGAGATTAGGTGTCTTAAAAAACAAATAGAATCCGAAAAAATTAGAACAAGTAAAATTAGTTATTCATTCTTTTTTACATTTGGTTCTATGACTGTTAGTTCTTTTGTCACGGGATAAAATCTTGTTTGGTGTCTGGCACGTGAATGTGGAGTACGTGGTTCTTGTTGAGTATTGCTCGGTGATTGTTGCTGTTGTTGATTACTATTTTCGTTTGATGTTGTTGCAGTAGATGGTGGACAATTTTTTAAATCATTTGGTAATGAATGTGATACAAAATCATGTTGTGTACTAATTGGCAAATGTTTCGGACGAAAAAACGGTTCTTGTTGAGGAGGTATTTTGATAGGTATTGCTGCTGAGCGTTGTGATGTATCTCCTTGTTTTGTATTTTCTGAATAAAAAAGGAAATATTACCCAAAGATTACATCGAACGTTTTTCAGTTATGCAATCTATAGAATTGTGTGCAGTATACAAACCTCTCTTAGCTTGATGTAGTTCTGCGTCATTCGTATTGTCGTTGTCATTATCTTCATCTTCCACTAATTTTGATTCTTGTTCGACATATTCATTTCGCATCAAATTCATCTCTTCTTGTGTTATTAATTTCACTGTTTTGTCACTGAGTTTATCTTTGGCCTGGAATTAAAATCAAAGCATGGATTTTCACAAAAATTGAATGTTTTGTATTGGTTAATGAGAAAACATCCTCAATAACAAATGGTTGCTACAACTAATCGCTACACAAAAGACCGAAACTACTCGAATCGTCATTGTTACATCAGAGAGTTACTGAATTTATGCTCAAGTGTTACAAAAATAATAAATAACGAGACATACTCTTGAACTTGTAGGTCTCTCGTGCCATAATTCTTCTTCGTACCATCTCAAACCGTCATCAATTATTTTTGCCATTTCTGATGTCATCTTCGCTCTTATAATATGATGCTCCGCACTACGAATATTATGCTGCTGCTTACGTGTCGATGGTGGTGTAGGTGTTATAATCAATATTTTATCAATATCATCATCGGCTAATTCAAATTCTGATTCGTCGCTTCTTAAAACAGAGCAATATAAGTTTCAATAACAGCAAATTAAAGTGCTAAAAATTTAAAACTGGAGAAGAAATTTTTTTTATCGTTTTTTTTTGCGCTAATCGGATAGAACTCATTGAGTTACATAGAAAAACTCTAAAAAAATTTTACATACTAATTTTTTAAAAACGGATGAAAATAAAGGAAATCTTCAATAATAAGCAAAATTCTTCCTTTTATTATTTTTAAAATTTCGAAACTATTTTTTTAAAAAATATTCACTTACAAAATTCAAGTTTTCATCAGAAGCAAGGTCATATTCAGAATCAGCGTCAAAAACTGACTCGAACGATATCCGTGTCGAAATTCGAGGACAATTTTGAACTTTTTGATTTTTTTGAATTTTTTTAGAAAAAAATTAAACTCGAGTTTTCTCTTAAAATTCGAAGTTGCCCTCTAATTTAAATTTCTCAACGATGAAGTAAAATGTTTCAAGAAGGATATTTAACTTTTTTTTCTACTTGCATGGGGTTAGAATCTAGTAAAAGAAATTATATTGTCTCCTAAACCTTAGGGCTTAATGGGTTTGTACAACGAACCGGGAGCACTTTCCTCATCCTGTCCATGTTCGCCAAATTTTGAGCTTAATTTAGTGGTCAGAAAAATCAACGATCGGTTTTTGTACTCAGTTTTGGATGAAGAAGAAGAAAATAGTTTCGAAATTTTAAAAACAGAGTAAAGGAAGAATTTTACTTATTATTGAAGATTTCCCTTATTTTCACCCGTTTTTAAAAAATCGGTATTTAAAATTTTTTTATCGAATATTATCTTGAATTTTTTCTATGTAATTCAATGAGTTCTATCCAACTAGCGCAACAAAAACGATAAAAAAAATGTCTGCTCCAGTTTTGAATTTCCGGCATCTTACAAATACGTCTCTCCTTACAACGTATCGGGAAAATGAAGATTTAATGAGTTTGCTCTGCGACGTTTTGGCATGTTGCTTGAGGTTAAAATGGACTTATTAGAAGGTAATTCTTCATCGAATTTAAAGTCAAGCTCTTCTCGCGTATCATTCGTTGCATCATCATCAATTTGCTGTTGATTTTGTTGTTCTTTCTTCTCCTAAATAACAGATAAACATGACGTGTGATCGTGAGTACCAACTATAGAAGCTCACTTTTTTCTTAACAGCTTTTTTCTTTTTCGTGGGCACAACTTGCCATACTGTTTCATCTGAAATTTTCTTTTGATTGTCTGATTTTATTGAACTTATTACATCATGAACGGTAATATTATTTTGATCTGCAAAAATGCATACGTAAATATTAACCCATTGTGTCATATAAACAAACATATGATATTTACTAGAATTATCTGTTTTCCATATTTTTCCTGGTTGAAATTCTGCTACATCTGGATTTAATGATAGTACATTTGGATCAATACCATCACATATAAGTGGCCATTTTTCAGGATTTGTACGACAGCGTACCATATATTTATCTGTCATTTCAATAACATCACTGTCTGCTACTGCCTACAAATAGTATGAAAGATTAATGTACTTACTTTTACGTTGAAGAGAAAACTTTTTACCTCAATAATCATGTTAAAATCTTCACATAACGATTTAACACGGTTAAAACCAGCTATTAATGATAAGGGTACATAACCATCTCTAGACATTTTTCGTCGTAGGTAAATATCGACTTCTAAATTTTCGTCACTGAAATAATATTCTCTGAAATGAAAAAAACATGATTTTCCTTTTCTTGAAAAATTAATTTTTTTTGAAGTTGTTTACAGTTGACGGCGAACAAAATCACGTAATTGACTCTGAGTATATGTAGCTGTTTCGGATGGCTGTTGTTGTTGATAATAATATAGACTGTTGTTAGTTCCGGTATTGTCTACCATGTATGGTAGAACAAATGAACAATCATCAATGACAGTAACTTCGTCATCAAAAATAAACTTATGAAAATTGTCACGACTTTCACGTTTTGTCGCTGATGTAGTTGTTGGAGCTACTGTTGTTGTCGTGGTACTGCTAGTTGTTACTGTTCCAGTTTTCTCAGTACTACTAACTTAAAACATAATAAAGACAGACAACGTTATTTTTTCACAGTCTCATTAAATGCTAATAATCATAATCAGCATTGAGTAAAAATACGTACCAGCATTTTGATCAACTGACGGTTCCTTTTTCTTTCGTTTATTATACGATTCGTAATGCCAGTTACCTCGACCTCGACCGCGATAATCTAAAGAAAAGTATAGTTGGTTAATTGTAACGGAGCAAGTCTCATTACACAACACAAGCATAGCTGAGATATTTTGGAAGTTTTATTTTTCCACTTTCCATTTTCAAATTTGTGTTTCCATATTAAGTTACATTTTTATCTTAAGAACAAGGAGCTAAGAAGGATGTTCAATCAAGACAAGAAATCTCAACTCTGTTTTATAATAAAGACAATAATGAAATAAAAAAATATTTACATCCAGAATAATAATAATCGTAATTATAGTATCCACGTACTCTACCCAAACCACCGCGTTTTGAAAACGAACTGCCGCCTAAAACAGCAATAGTAAGAATAAAACGAATGCGAAATATATGCTGTTAATACACTACATTACCATCTAAACTTCGTGTTCGAGGACGTCCGCCTCGTTTAGCACCGCGAGCACCCCTAGTTGATGTGACATCAGCCGCTGTTGCCGATGCTGAAGGTTGTTGATCAATAACAAGCGGTATCCATTTTTGTTTTGCTATAATTATAAATAACAGCGTGTGTTATAAATACATTTTCTGCTTCTCATTACATACCTTTCTTTTTAGGTGTTTTTGGAGTATTGGGCGCTGCATCTATTGTTGCATCAGGAAGCGTAGAAGCATCGTTTGTTGTGGCAGAAACGGTATTTTCGTTTTTTTTATTATTATCAGAAATATCTATGTCACTGGTCTCACTTTTTATAACATCGTTCGTCAAAACATCATTATTTAAGTTTTCATTTTTTGCGACAGTTTCATTATCATTAGGAGGTTCTGGCGTCGTCCTGCTGTCCAAAGAGAATGACGACGTTTCATTTTCATTTGTTATCGTTTCATCTGCTTTATTTCCAGGTCGTTGAATCACAGGTGTCTTCTTCTTCAATAACAAGAAATAGTCATATAAAAATATACACATAGAATAACTTACTTCTTTTGCTGGTTTGTCAGGCAGTATAGTAGCTTGTGAAAGACTAGGCCAATCATTTGTATTATTTGTCTAAATGGAAAAAAATGACGAGCGTTTGTTGAAATTTCTTTGCGAATATTACTTCTAACGACGTTGTTTGCGTTGTTGTTTTGGTTTTTGGCACAGATAACTGATGCCACGCGCTGGCAGCTGTTGTATTATCTGTGGGCATCACTGTTCGATTCAAAAATAGAAATATAAAATCTACAAAAGAAAGTAACAACATATGAACTCATCGTTCAAATGAAGAGAAGTAGGAACAATACATGTTTCTTCACTATGCTATACAAGAAGAATGTGTCATTTCAAATTGGAGCAAGACCAAAAGTTGAAAACTTTTTCATAAAGAGAAAATATCTGCACGTCATTCTTCATTTAGTTACGCAATTCTACAGTAAATTTCATGATTTTCATTTATATTTTCGTATTACATGAATGAACAACACACTTCCATTTGTTATTATTATATTTTTGCAGTATAGGAGAGCGAGAAGTATGTCCGATCTCTACCAATTACTGAAAATACTTTCTTGTTGAAAGCTTATAAAAATTTGTGAACACGGGAAACTATTTCCAGTGAAAATAAAATTTTATAAAAAAGAATTTTTAGAGTAGCTTCTTGAGAAAAGATTTTCTTCCCGTACACCGTTATATCTGCGCCTTCGCTAAGTCTAAAAACCGTTTACAGTTAGCGAAAAACGATTGTATTTATTTTTATAATTCTGCACCTGATTTCGAGAGCTAGCTTTTCTTGTCTACAGTAAAAATAATCTAGCACCATTTTCTGTTAACAATAGAAAATATTCATCTTTTACACATGTATTTGTGCCTTCATTTTATATAATTCTTATCGAAAACTTCAAAAAGATAGCTTTAGTATCAGAAAGAGAAACAAAATTTGTATTTTAATCTGCTAAAATATGTTTAATTAAACTGATTAGTGGAAGCGAGAAACCCGACACATCGTAAAACATATGCTACTCGTTATAGCATAGCGTTGCTTTTACGTGTACGTCCGTTGTTACGGTTTGATTTTTAGTTCAATGCCAAGGTACATTAAGTTCTGAACAACAGATCTGAAATATGTCTGCCTCCAATATAAAAGAAAAAACACGCAATGTATTGTATTATAGACGACCAAGATATATGGTCATGTGGACTCATATGTCATTGTAAGTTAACCTAGTACGTAAAAAATAACGAATCCATCACTCAGCATCGAAAAATGTTTTTTCATTCTTTTTGTGATATCAATATAACATAATGAACATATAATATTATTCAAAAAACTGCGTATATACGACATCTATTTAAGATGATTTTGAAAACGTTTATCTTTTTAAAACGAATTTAATTAGAAAAATTAACTGTAGGTGAATAACAATAACAAATTTTCTTCTAGTTAAAATGCTGCTCTCTCCTTTCTTTTGAAAAGTATCATTTTCGACCAGCAAATTGGTTATCTTTTTTCTAAAGCTTTTGATCTTGAAGGTTACAGAGTTTAGAACTTGTCTCTTATATTTATTCTAGTTTGATTCTTGTGCTCTAATTTTGTTTCTGTACTGTTTAGATATCAGAATCAGACTTCCCAGATGGTCCACATTTTGCGGACAAATTCCGCATTTTGGAGTTTTTTCCGCAATTTGTCCGCTGTCCGCTATTTGTCCGCATTTTGAGAATTGTCCGCTTTTGCTGTTTTTCCCCTGTTTACATATAACATTTAAAAAAAGAATGTCTATTTATTGAGGATTCTCTTTCTCATCCTATTGTCAAACCAACACCATCTCCAGACGTGCACAAATTAGTTTCGTTTATATTTTCAATTTCGTGCAGTAATTCATACGTCGGAAGTGCATTTTCTTCCATGAAACATCTATTTAACGATAAAAGAAATCGTATGTCGAAAGATTGCAGCTGAGTTAAAAATTCGCTTAAACTCATCGTTATCATGCACTGAAATTTATAATTATTTCTTATCAACGCCAGATCTGCTTAAACTTATTCATTCTAATCAAAAATATACAGTCAAACATATCACCGGATCGAAAAATTTCAAAAGCTTGTTCGGTCGAAACCGATTGCAGATTCGTTTTTTCCATGGTTGATTATGTGGTACGCAATAACTTTTGGATCGGGGTGCTTTAGAAAAAAATTTTCCCATGGTCTTGCTCAAAAATTTTTCAGAATGTTACCTTATGGGACCAAAAAGGCAAAACGATGTCGAAAATTTTTTCTAAAGTACCCCGATCCAGAAGTTATCGCGTACCGCATAATCAACCATGGAGAAGACGAATCTGCAATCGGTTTTGACCGAACAAGCTTTTAAAATTTT